AATATATTATTTTTTTTTTATTGTTCAATTAAAAATAACATAATAGGTATATAATCGATCGCAACAAAAAAACTTGTAAAAATACTTACAATAAATTTCTCTGAATCTTTCAATAATATTTGTTTACCATGTTCAGACTTTCAAACAAATATATAAAAAATAGCTCATCATACCACAAAATTTCTAAATTCTTGGTTTTTAAACGATCTAGAAATATTATTGACTATTCTTTCTGAAAAATTACAATAACATAACTACATCCCACGCATCGTTAAAAACCTAAAACGTGCAATTTGTTACAGCAGTACTATCATTTTACATGCGAGACGTTTTGTTGTATGACGAAAGTCAAGCAGTTGACATTTATCATGTATTTATGATGCTTTGTTATGTATCTGCAATAATAGGAGGGATAGTTGGAAACGGTGATTACGGTAAGTATAAGTAAGTAAATTCTAATAATATAACTTAATATACAAAGCTATTTATAATTTTCCATGAGGGCGTCACACTCGCACGTGTTGTCTCTGTCTAGATATCTTTGTCGTATAAGTACCTACCTATCAGGATTGAATGAATAATTTATTAAATCTCAAAAATAAACAATTATGAGGACACAACACTATTTGTAAGTAACGTAGATCATAACAAATTTGCGTTCAGTAAAATCAATTTTGTGTATTTTGTGTAAATTTTAATTTTAACGTAAATTGGCCTATATTATCAACCAAGGTAAAATTACAGTGTTTGTACAATTGTACATCGATTTTCAAACGAGATATGAGTATGGTAAATATCAATAATACTATCTATTTAAAATGCTCGTAATTCATTTAGAAATTAAAATACCATAAAAACCAATAACCGATCAGAGAATATTCTTACGTTTAAATAGATCAACATTTTCTCATATTAAGCTTTAATACACACAACTGGTTCTGCTGAACTTAAATTCTCTGCTGTACTTTTTTTACAAATGATATGTAGGTACCTATTGCTTCCTCATAATTATTTACTTTTGAAATTTAATAAATTATTTGTTTAGTGATACTGAAATATCTTCATTTTAATATATCAACTAAACAACAGATAGGTACAATGCGAAATGTAACCTAACTTACCTAACTATGATGTCATTTAAGAAGAAACTAAAATTTAATAGAAAACGATCACGAAATTTAAATGTTTATTTTTACCTCATCTTATGGATAAAACTCCAACAATTAATCACTATTAAACCATAAAAATGTATTATATACATTTCATATGACTATTTATGACTTTTTTAGTTAAATTTACTTCAACACATTGATATTTCCAATCAACATTTTTAAACTATACCAACTCCCGGTTATTGCATAATTATAATGAATACCTATATGTATAACAATACTATACTATTATGAATTATAATACTATTTATAATAATTATCAAATATTTTTGTATTTTAGAACCATCTTAACATTTTCAATCGTGTATTGGATTGGAATATTGATTTTATTTTGGTCGACTGTTCAAATCCAAAATACAATATTAATTAAGTAAATATTAAAATTATTGAATCGAAAACAATATTAATACGTATGCTTACAGCATAATCATTATTAGCGATTATATTATTATAAGCGATTAAAAAATAATATACCTAACAAAGTACCTAGCATAGGTGGTTGAATAAAATACATAAAAATAAACGTTTCTCAAATATATGCCCGTTATGCACTTAGAATTTTAACCTGCTCGGTTGATGGCATGGATAGTAATTAATTGTTGTATATATCTATTACACATATTTTTGACATAATTACATATGTATCATTCAATTTCTTCAAAAAAATAAGATGTACAACAAATAAAATAAACACTAGCTGTTACCAATAGCGTTACATTTAAATGTGATTTATATAATACCTATATACTTAATAATTACAGTATTTTTATCCCTTAAAAACTTTAAGAACCAACAAATTCGCTTCAACGTGGTCTATAAAAACTATAATATCTACCTATATGCATATTGTAAAGTCCTGCAGACTATCRTTTGATTGTCGAATTAAATAACTTTTTGTACCTACTCAGTTAACCGATCAATTGTATGATTACAAACGCATTTTATTTATTTAGCTTCATGGCGTTATACGCTCTGGTTTTTGTTTCAATTGGCGTGGGTGGTATAAAATGCTGTATTGCAGCATTTGGCGTGGATCAGCTTATCGGAAATGATCAGAACGTAACCTCGACGCAAGTACACGTATTCTTCAGCACGTTTTACTTTTCTATACACTTAGGCGTATTTTTCGGAATGATAACTTCACCAATCATCAACAAAATTTTGTTGTACAATGGTCACAATATCAACGAATATGTTATCAGATTTGGAATGGTGGTTATCACGATGGCAATCTCAATAAGTATAAAAACACATAATCTTTTAAGTTTTAATTTAAATAATAACCTTCTCAAATTAAGTTTATAAAAATAAAAATGAAGTAGGTCAATATAATATACCTATCTACATTCTACATTCTTAATTTAAAATCAATAAAAATATAACGAAAGTCAAAACGTGTATACCGTCCTTTTAAGTGCGACTGGTATGTAAAAATTATCAACTAACAATTATCGGTACTGCATTATTCTGAATCACTTATAATTTAACTTTTTAAAATGGATATATGTATAATATAGTTGTTAGAGTATAATGGAAAGTACTTACATAACAGTCGCATGCAAAAACTACCTATCTTCCTCGATGTTAATTAAAATATTTAAACAAGTTTTTGTGATTTTATTCAATAAAAAATAATGAATTATTAAAATACTTACACTACCTCGGAGGTTCTTATGCCTTTATCAACTTGTGTAGAAACACATTAATATAATATTGTATTATTTATGAGTTTCTGAATAACTGATTTAAAAAATATTTATTTATTATCCAATTACTCRCAGTCAAAGATGACTTTCAAAATCTAGAACAAACTGTTTATTATAATTAAATTATWGGTTTATAATTATTAATTACAGAAAGTAGATAGTTAGATATTAAACTAATATACATTTATATTATATATTAATACAATTTTCTCTATCCCTTAAATAAATAGCCATATATGTCACTTTTATGACTAAAACATAACAACTCTTTTTATAATCAACTGTACTTTATGTTTATTAAGCATTTAATTCCTGATTATTGTTATTTTAAGCTTTATTAATGTATCATGGCATACATTTTATAAAGAAACAAATAAATAAATATTTAGTGTAAAACATTTTTAGGTGTATTTATTTGCGGAAACCCATACTACTTATTCAGAAAATCGTTAACTAATATTTTACCAAAAATGATAAAATGTATTTTGGTAAGTATACTTTTTCAAATATTTTTTAATTAATTAAAAAAGTATAAATTTCCAACTTTTATATGCGAAAATAAATTACTACAGTTTAAAATAATATATTGTATGCCATTGTTTAATTGTTCACAGTTTTCATTGTGGAAACAATTAACACGCTGTAAGAAGACAAAAAATGAACATTGGTTAGAGTTAGCAAAAAATTCTTTTCCAAACGATATCATAAATGACACGAAGAAAACGTTACACATACTCTGTCTTTACATACCTTTTTCAATATTTTGGAGTTTATTCGACCAACAAGTTAATATTATAAACATATCGTGTTAGTCTTATCCATATTAATTGTAAGTTATGTATTGATTTAGCACACAACTTGGATTTTTCAAGCATCGCGAACAAGCGACCATTTGTTTGGCATACCATTTTCAGTATACATGCTACAAGTGGTAAATCCCGTACTCGTGCTATTCACTATTCCATTTATGGACCGTATAGTTTACCCTTATTTGAAAAGCCATAAACTATTTAAGTATCCTCTAAAACGAATGTTGCTTGGCGGTACTATAGCTGGTATATCGTTTATTTTTGCAGGATGCCTTGAAATGTGTTTAGAGGTGTGTGAATTACATATACATATTATGTGATAGTATATTATCCTAAAAACTGTTTTGACAATTTGTATTTTTATTTAACTAATAATATGTAATCTGAGTTCTACTGTGTTATAGGAAAATATTAAAGATAGAGATATACATAACACAAATTCATACTATGACGCATACACAAAACCACGTTTAGCAAACATATGGACATCAAATTTAGGCTTTCAAAAGTTTAATGAAACCGGATATTTTATATTAGATAATATTAGAACACGAAAATGTATGAATAAAAGTTCTATTAAAATCCGAATACCGAAAAGAAAATGCAAAACACTTATGAAAAACAGAGATATATTTAAAGTACGCTTGAAAAGATATAATATAATATAAGATATAAGATATAAGATAATGTCAGATATATGATTAAAGTCAATATTACAAATTATTATTAAACAGGGTAGCGTAAGATATTATTTAAAAGGACATATTATTAGATTTTGATTATACAAGTCGATTTGTTTAATAATAGACACTCATAATCTCGAATGTTTTTAAAAATATTAATAATCAGTTTTCAGTTTTTAATTTTTTGACTGTCAGCAGTCAGCACACATTTTATTTTTCARGTTTCCATGAACGGAGTAGTACCTAAAGGTACCCACTCAGTACTCTGTTACTCATCTCAACTTAAAATACGTAACAATAACTAATTAACTAAATATTTATAAACAACATTTCTCAGAAAAAATATTCTGCTAAGGAATAAGTAATTTTAAAAAATGTTATCATTTGAAAAAATGAAAACTTACAAATTATAGTGATAAAAATAAAAAAATTAGTAAAATTAATTTTTTTTTTCAAAAGTGTTAACCTTTAAAAAAATCCCTTTTTATAATAACATATATATTCATTTTATTATATTGTTTTTATGTGTGGATAATATTTTTAGAAATCAATTATATTATTAGTAATGGAAAATAGTTTATTTAAAGAGAATAACACTTTGTTTAACCGACCTTCAGTTGTCCTTGTGCCGGAAAATGTATGCATGACTTCAGAAAAAAATCATTCATATATAACACAGTAAAGTTTTGAATAATTATTTTTTTTTAAACTAATATTTTTCATTTGGTTAATCTGTATTGTATCAGTATAATTGTTCCATTAAATGAAGATTACAGAATATGGTTACACATCAAAAACCTTACACTTCAGTCCATGTCTAATAATAAGATAACAATTTTCGAAGAAGCACATTCCGTTACTCAATTTCAAAATAATACAGTTTTGAAAATTCCTCCTGGTTTGTAAGTACAAATGGTTTTAGTAATCAATTATATTACTCAATATTATATTTTAAAATATTAACACTCACATACACATATCACGTAGAGTACAACATATTATGAAATTATCATGGCCACTTCGTAAAGTTGATCATTTCATGAAAATAGATTTTTTATTTTGTGAAATTCAAAAATATGTTTCAATGTTGTAACTTTCTTGTTTTGTTAGTAAGTTGCAACTAAGTGGCAATTACTACCTATTACTTTGTAGGTCATAGGTGTTTGCTGTTTAAATTATTAACTACCATACCTAGGTAAATTTAAAAAAAAAAGTATAATAATATTATATTGATTATTAATGTATTATAATAAATTCATGACTACAAATAATTTTCAAATTTATAAAAACATATAATAATTAATGCAATTTTAAGGTATACACTGACGATACATTATACGGATAAAAAACAACAGCCAATATCAAGGAGAGTCTTAAATCTTGAAACTAATCATATTTACACATATAGAAATGAATATGATAGTAAAATAAATTCTGTAAGTATCTACCTATTCTATTACCTATAAGTCCAATTATCACTATAATTAACTATTCCTATTTTGTAATTTGATAAAAATACAATATTTTTAGAAATTACAATCAAATACAGTTGAAAAGACTTATGTTTTAAGTAAAGAGTGGTTATTACCTCAGTTTATTTGTATGACATTCGGCGAAACACTGTTTACCATGACTGGATTATCATTTTCTTTCTCGGAAGTAAATAAAAATAAGTAAAAAAAGTAAAATCAATTTCAATTTAATATGTAACTCAACTATCCTTAACTATCATACACACGACTAACGATTATTAGGCATAAACGTCAACCAACAAACTTAAATAAAGACAAATTTAATACGATATGAACCAATTTAAGGGGGCAAGGAAAAACTTGTTAGTCCCATTTTTATTCATTTTTTCCAATGAATGTTATAATACGTCTCTAGGATAAATTTGTAGAAATATAAAATAAAATATACAATGGAGGTCATAATTATACATTTATCGTTTTTATTTTAATTTATAAAATACTTGATCCTTTAAAAATATTGATCTGGCTTCGTATTGATTAATAGCAAGGCCGTCACGGGGTGGATGGGAAAACGTCCACAAACCTTACTGTTTTGTTTTTTGCATCTACATTGCTTTTTTTACGTTACCTACACAAATAATTGTATTTGCCGAACTTTTTTTTACAGACTCCCGAATCGATGAAAACTGTGTCAATATCTATGTGGTATTTTTGCGTGGCTCTTGGGAATTTAATTGTCATTTTTATCAACAAATTTGTAGCGTTTGAAAAGAAAGTAGGTAATCAGTTTTTGTTTCCTTTAATTTATACCCACAAGACCAAATTAATATGTCTAGTGTGATTTAAAACCAGTCCAACATGTTTTTTATGTTCGCTTCCATTGCACTCTTAACGATATTCGGCACCTGCAAATGGAGTAACACGTACGAAAAATTATATTACAAAAATAAAGCAGATACAGGAAATGAGAACGATAGAGATAATGTTAATTTAGGTAATATCCTACACGATACTACAAAAAACAATCCACCTATTGTCTTTAAATTACTTTTATTTTTGTGTTTTCAGTGATGTTATTAAAAAAGGAGAGTTATCAACTATCGTTTTGAAAACGAAGAGATTATATTTAAGACAATTATCAGCAAATAATATATAGAGTTTAAAATATTATTAATAATTATAATATTGTTATTAAAATCAAATTCATCGAAAACGGCGATAACAATGAAAATATCTTAAATGCACTTAGCCAAGTATTTTATTTAGGTATCTATTGTCTATTGAAATTGTGTGAAAATATGTTTGATTGTTAGATGCTATATAATATTTAAAATATTGTACCTACACCGTTAATATAACGTTAAAGCTTAGTACACCAGAATATCGGATTTTTGTTTGTTGTTCTACATGCTGCCTGGCTCGTAGTGGCTAGTGATTACAACTAGTATTTACCTATCTGGCTATCCAATTATAAGTTTCATTGACATATTTTTTTAAATAAAATGTAAAACTACGCACGCGATTCGTTTTTATGTACAGTATCGTAAATAATAGTATTAGTCAGTAGCATTCATAATCATATCATAAATTATAGGTACCTAATTAGTTACATTACATGTAGTAACATTACAATTATTTAAACAATCAGTTGACTGAATAACCTTTTGAAAGAAAAGAACTGAGACTTAGATGGAAAAAATTGGGTTTGTTTTCCATAATAGAAAGTCATGGGGAACCTACTAGAAGCCGAATTATAGTGTTGGGAAATCAAGCAGCCACGAAGGTCGTGAAATTTTGATTAATTAAATCAAATTTGATACCTATRGAGTATAGACTATACAGTAAAGGATTTAAGATAATATTAATGATGATTAAATACGGATAAATAACAACTTTTTGGTTGAGCTTTTATGTCAATGATGGTGATATAAATAAATAAATTTCGTTTTTCAACAATAAGCAATAGGTATAGTGAATCGGGGCTGTAAKTTTATGCACTAAAAACTATTAAAAACGTAAACATTGAATTAAAACTTAAATTAAAAATCAAAATTACAATTAATGTAACAAAACTATTATAGATAGGTAATTAAAATGTATCTTATCGGAAAGTTAACATGACACAAAAATTAATAATATATTACAATTAGTTTAATGATTAAAATAAATACTTAATAGCCAATAGGTGCATCATAAAATTGTGTACAGAGCACTTGTTATAGTTTCCTATTTCTAGCATTTTAGRGCTGCATTTGATTTAATAACCCTCACCTTAAAATTAAAATTTTTATTGATTCCTGATATTTTTACAACATACACGAGTATTAGTAGCCAATGGAATTTTTCAAATAAATAGTAAATTTTAAAGTTTTAAATTTTAATTTGATAAAAAAAATATTTACCTAATACCTATACATCATTAAAGTTCGGTTGTGAATCATCTTATCTTATAATATTTCCTATMATTTACGAGTAAGTAAATATAAGTACCTATATGTATAAGTTTCAAGTTTGGTTTATGGTTTATGCATGATTGTTATTGCTACAGTTCATATTATCAAGTAATATAAAAGTTACATTAATTATACTAGATACCAAAGATAAACATTAGAAAAATGTTATCAACATCCAGTTTGAAAAAAAAACATAGCACGCTACTCGATATATTATTTTGTCCTCTACAAGGAAAAACTATGAATCGTAAATATTATGTTTTTGTTAATAATTGCCCATGACGACGAAAAAACCTTACAAAAAAATGTAAATATGAAAAAAATGTATTCAATATCTGCAGGTAAAATAATCATTATTATTTGAGTAGATAATATAATACATTTTATAAWAAATTTATTAATTTATTCCACATTAACATTTAATATTATGTGATACTTTAAAAAAATGTTTGCAAATGTGAGTTTCATTTAAATATAACTTTGATCAAGTTTGACGTTAAGGATCTTTAGTTATGTTTTGTAACGATTTCCTAATGACCTAATATATTTAGTATTTATCCGTAACAAACGATATAGTGTAGGCTATTGAGTTAAAACATTTTTCTTTTTTTAAATGAAACAATGCTAGTGATTTAGATTACTACTACCCTACATTTGTTGATAATTTGAAATTTATATCCTTGTACATTTATTGATGTAATCTTGTCTGTTTATCATGTTATTGTTTATTAATTTTACGTAACACCGTCTTCAGTTATATGACGTGCTTGTTTCACCTTAGGTACCAATAACGGTTTCGGCTTGTCTTTTTGTTGTTATTTATTATATTCATATAAACTCAAATTCATTAAAATTTCAAGGGGTTATCATTTTTAACACCAATGTGAGTGAGGGGAGGGCTAAAAACTGCATATTTTTGGTGAGCTAATGGGATATTTGCACTGGTTTCACCCGCTTAGTCCTCYAGCGATTTGTGCCCATGATAATATTTTAATTTTCGTCTGATTTTTCAGATGTCAACACAAATCCATTATCAATGGCATGGGTTTATTTTGTCATGATAAATGCCACTACCTAATACCTATAACAATATAAAAAAAATGTTAATATAATTTTATCAATGTTAACATATTATTTTATTTTTGTATTTAAAATGGTGGGGGAGGCTAATATAGGGAATTGTTTACACAGTTTCACGCGATATTTTTTCCTGCAATAATATCTATTTTTTATTGTTTTATAATTGTTATAAATTTATCATAATTTAAATTTCAAACACCGTGGTTATTTTTTCGTGGGTATTTACTTACCGTGTAACCTTAACAACAATTCATTTAAACGTAGTTATTACAAATTTTAAAAGCATATAACATAATAATAGAATATTATCTTACCTATAGGTATTGAGCTCAAATTACAAAATGGTTGAAGTTGATTCCGAAGAGGTAAAAAGGCACTTGGAAATCTTGGGGTACACGAACATAGAACCTAATCTGCTAAATGAGTTCATAAAAGGTAAATATTGAAAAATAATTCAGAATTGTAAATTATTGCTCGTTTAAAATATTTCGATTCTTTAAAAAATCGCATTCCACGTCTTAAATGCGCATAAATGTATAAATACCTAAATCGTAAATCTAATAGGTTGATAAAATAATAGATGGTTATTAATAATTTTCAACTTAGGTAATATATATGGGTATACAYATGAGTGTAACTAAAATTTGATTGTTACAAGAAGCTTTAGTCCTAGAAAGCCTAAGTTGAAAATAAACCAGAGTGAGCGCCACACCACAAGGCCTTCGTCATTAAAAATAAAATATAAATAATAAAATAAGTTTTTATAATAATAAGATAG